TGACCCCCCCTGGATGGCAGCCTGCAGCAAGTGCAGCCGGGCTGATGGCCGAGTGCTGTGATGTGCCGAGTGTGGGCACTCAGGGCACTCCAAGCCAGGACTGCTTTGCAAGCGGGGGACCCCTGAGAGGCTTCATTAGCAAGTGCGGTATGCATACATTACCCTCCTAGTTCGAACTAGGAGGGTAGTGTAGACATACCCTAAGTTAGTTCGAATTAGCGCTGTAGTGTAGACATACCCCTAGGGACCAGGTTACAATCTCATAAATGCAGATGAACTCCATTAACTTAATGGCCACCTTTTATTATTTGTATAGTAGTGCTCTTGGATGCTGTAAAATAATGAAAAAGCAGCTGCTGTGGGCGCTGTAGTGTAGACATACCCCTAGGGACCAGGTTACAATCTCATAAATGCAGATGAACTCCATTAACTTAATGGCCACCTTTTATTATTTGTATAGTAGTGCTCTTGGATGCTGTAAAATAATGAAAAAGCAGCTGCTGTGGGGGTGGGGGGAACCCAGAAACATGGTGTGACGGCGCGTTGGGGTTTTCCCGTCTCCTGCACCCCTGTAATGGCACGGACAGACTCCACCAGCCAGTAGAATAGAGGGAGTTTATTGCTTCTCCAGGGTACAGCACAGCACAGATGTCATCTGGTTACAGGAACTGGGGCTAAGAGGCCTCAGTGCCCCCCCTTGAGATGGGGGGTGGCTGGGCCCTACAATCCCAGCCCCCTCCCTAGCTCCTTCTCCCCTGCTTCCCAGACAGCAACTAAAGACCATCCCTTCCAGCCCTGCCCCCCAGCCAGGGGCAGCATTCCACCTTCCTTTGTTCCTCTCTCTGGGGGGTAACTGGTAGAACAGGTTACCTTCCTGTCCCATCAGCTACTCGGCTGGGCCGTGGTACAGGCAGCAGCCAGTGGGGATCACCCACAGCCCAAGCCTAGCAACCAGCAAGGTACCCACACTACGTCACACATGGTCTCATTTATTTATGCAGAACTAGGAACCCCTTGGACTTGGGAGAAGTAACCAAAAAGCAATAAGTTTTGTATATTTCCCCCAGTAGTGCTTGGCCATCAGCAGCAATGACTCTCTCCCGCTTTACCGTCCTTTCAATGCGACTCTTATTTATTCCTTGTGTTTGATAAGCTTCTAGAACCCCCCACCCACCCCCAAATACTCTGGTTGGCTCAAATGCTCAAGGTCTGGCTCCTTCCACACTGTCGTGGGACTCAGTGGCAGCGTTTCCCAAAGTCTGAGTAAAAACACCGCGAGTCAGACCCTGTTTTCACCTGCCATTTTATTTTTCTTTGGCTCCTGCTACTTTGATTGCTGATGCTTTGCTCCCTCTCTCCTCAGGATGTGGGCCTGCTGGAGATCCCGGCAGAGCTGGCGGCCCTCCTGCACTCTGCCAAAGGTAAGAAAAATCCCGTGTGTGTGTGTGTGTGTGTGTGTGTGTGTGTGTGTGTGTGTGTGTGTGTACACGTACACACACCCAAGGGCTTCCTCCAAGATGCAGAGATAGAGAAGCAGCTCTGTCCGGTAGGTGCCGCAGATGTGAGGTTTTACCCTCGATCTCTGCCACTTGACCTATTCTGTGAATGGGACCAACCCCTGCAACTTAGTTGACACACATCTCTGTGAGCTGCAGTGCTCCTGTGGGCATCCAGCACCGTCTGCTCGTTAACAGTTGCCTTGCCCTGATGGCTAATTAATTTGTATGATGGTAGCAGCTAGGAGTCCCAGCTGAAATAGGGGCCTCAGCGCGCTAGATGCTATACAAACATACAGCAAGAGACGGCCCCTGCCCCAGTCTGACTGGGCCAGCCATAGAAAGGGACAGAGGCACAGAGAGCCGCTAAGATTTCCTGCAGTTCCACAGCTGTTCTATTACCCGCTATATAACATCCCCGGTCGTGACTTCGTCCCAGTGCAGAATGAGGAAGTTTTGAAACCTTGGAAGCTTTCCTGGGACAAGAAAACTTTTGGCTTCCCCTGAAGTGCCAGGAAGGTTTAACCAGAGGGGGTGGCAGTGGGGGAGGCGCTGCTTGGAAAGCGGAAGGAGGGGGGGGAGAGCAGGAGAAGGCGAGCAGAAGCCGTGTTGCTTTGGGAAGTCTCTGTAGCCTGGGAGGCGTTTGTTGTCCTATCGCCCCGATAACTCCCTTATCTGCTGCCTCGCTTTCGGTGACCTCTGGTTTATTTATCAACTGGGACACTGCCAGCTGAGTCTCTGCAGGGCTCCATTATTTGTACACTGTGAAGGAATGGCAATGCCTCCAAGCTGGCCAGGGGCGTTCCCTGTGGGTGTCCAAGGTTTGCTCCACACCTGAGCTACTCCTGGATGTGTTGTTTCCCTGACCCACCTCTGCTCCGCAAAGTCCCCCTTTCTAGAAGAGCCTTTGAGTCCATTCCCTGAAGAAGCTGCCCTGTCTCTCCAACCCCAGCTAGAGCAAAGGCAGCGTGAGGGGCTGAGTGCAGCTGGCCAGGCATTTACCCGTTGCCCTCCCCTCTCTGGTGCCAGCATTACAGACCCCCAGCTCTGTTGCTGCCCCCCGGGGCACAGGCATTAGCAATGAGCTGGGGAGCAGGCAGGCAGGAGGGTCACACCAGTCATGCTCTCCAAAGGGGAAAATGGCAGCAAACTGCATTTGGCAGGTAGGCAGGGAGGTCTAGTGGGGGGAGCAGCTGGGTGTGGCAGGGGTCTGTGGGGATGGGGAAATGGGGTGGGTGTCTCAGGTGGGGGTGGTGGGGGAAGGAGGTTTTGTAGGTGTCTCTGGTGGGTGATGGTAGCGATGGGGGTTGGGTGCCTCCGGTGTCTCAGAGATAGGGGTTGGTGTGGGTAGCTTGGGAGATGCTGTGGGTGTCTCTGGTGGGCAGGCAGTGTTGTTAACTGGGTGTGTGGCACTGTGTCTAGGTGGGCCTGAGGCTGTGTATTCATCCCCCCCCCCTCTCGCTTACAGGCAAGCACCATGTCCAGGCCAATCAGATCACTGAGGTTTCACCTCCAGAGGTCAAGGCCAAGTGCGATCTCTCCCTCCCACCCAACATCAACCACTCGCTCTTCTCTGCCTTCATCAGGTCTCACTTCCAGGTAGGATGCTGCTGATGCCATGAGCCACAGGGATCAGTGTTCCCTCTAACTTTTTCTATCCATGTGCAGAATAAATGTTGTTATGTGCACTGAGGCACAAGCAGATGTGCACCACCATTAGGAACACATGGTTCCAGCTGTGGGCGGTTGTGGGCAGCATTGGAATCTCTCCTGGGTGGCTGCCCAAGTCCTCAGTTTGCAGAGAACCCTGACAGGGACCCTTCCATTCTCTCTTGCCCCTTCTCCTCCCTGCTTGCTGCCCCTCTACCCCTCCCTTCATTGTTGTCTCCTCCTCTCCCCATCTCTGCCATTCTGCCCCAGATTCCACGGGGTTCTGCCTCTCCCCTACTCTCACGTATTCAGAAGTGCTGGAACTAGAGGGGCAGGGGGTGCTGTCGCATGCCCTGGCTGGAAGCAGTTTCCATCAGATGCAGGGTTTGCAGTCTGGTTCAGTGTCTCTCAGTGCCCCGCTTTACAAATTGTTCCAGCCCCCTGAACGTGCTTTCTCTGTCAGGATGCTTTCCTGGGCTCCTTAACCCCCTTGTCTCTCTGCTCCAGTATGTGCCTGAACATCGGGGATCCGGAGCTGCGTACTGGGTCTATGCTTTGCGTCCCTACAGGCTGTGTCTATGGCACTGAGCTGTCATTAGGGACTTTGCCTTGGAATGTTACAAAGGACTGATCCCCACAAGAAGCCATCTGCTGCCGCCTCAGCCCATTCCTGGCACAGCTGGGAGGAATGCAGAGTCCTGCTGTGGATTCTGGCTTTCTCCTAGGGCTTGTAGCAGGCCCATGAACTCAGCCCGTTTTTACCACCTAGGAGCCCAACTTCCCTGCCCTGGGGCAGCCCCTGCAGCAGCCCTTAACCCGCCTGGAGGGCGAGGACAAGAAGAGCGCTTTGGAGATCAACAAGCTGGTGAGCGGAGTGTATGTGTGTGCATGAGTGTGCGCACGTGCAGCAGTTCATCACAGAGCCAGCCTGTGATATCGGACAATCCCAAAGCCCCCCGCTGGCCTTGGTAGTGGGGCAATAGTGAACTAGGAAGGCACATTATGCAGGCACTCGGCTCCTCTAGGAGCTCTGTCTCCAGAAGGGGAGGGGCCTTACTGAGGTTCACAGGACCCCAAGTGCAGTAATGCCCCCAGAAGGAAAGTCATGTGGTCTAGAGGTTCCGGGAAAAGAACGGTGGATTCGCACGCCACCACGTTACTGACTTGCTGTCTCCCCATGCACCAGTCCCCTGACCTCCTGACAAGCTGGGAGACAGGAGGGAGGGCAGGACCTGCTGCAGCATCCGAGCTGAGGTATCCAGGGGAAGCAAATTGGCTAAGGATACGTCCCAAGGGCAGTGCTAACCCTGGCCATGGGCTCCCGGGTGGTAGCAGCCGCGCTGCAAAGCCACAGGCGAGTTGCTGCATTCTCACTGGTGCCGTGCTCGCCCCTGTATATCACTAGGGCTTCTGGGGCACAACCCATGGCTCTGAGCCCTGCACCAAACTCTTTGGTTCTTTCCCAGGGAGTGGTGGGAGAACACATCTGTCCTGTGTGCCTGGGCAGGGGGGCTGGAAAGGCAGTGGATGCTTTCAACACTCCAGCAGTTTCACCTGCATCCACCCAGCAAACGTGGTGGGTTACCAGCTTGAGTGAAAGCGCTGTCGCCTACAGCCCCCGCTGGGCCAGCTGGCCTGAGCTGGGTGAGGATATTGTGTGTGAACCGGAGAGAGGCTGGGACAACACCCAGCGCAGACAAGGGATTCTGTTAACTTGAAATGTTCTAGGGGACGTGTTAAGCGCAGTTGTCCGCTGGGGCATGGTGTTGTGCTGGATGGAGCAAGTGTGCTGCGGGGGTCCGAGGGGCTTGGACACCTGGATGGAAGCTCCCTTCAACTGCTGGTTTGGGAGGCTGAAACTGAAGGGTTGTGGCTGGTTCCGGGGTGGGGGGCGAGGGAGCAGATCACAGAGGGGGTTGGGCAGCTGGGCTGTGGTCAGGAAGCAGGGCCGGCCCACAACATTTTGGCACCTGAGGTGGGGAGCTCAAATGACGCCCCCATGTCCTCTCGCTTGGGCCAAAACTTTGAAAGGTCTCAATTCTCTGGGCCCTAGTGGCACCCCCCCCCCAGTCTGGCACCTGAGGTGGCCTCCTTAGTCTGCCTCATGGTAAGACCAGCCCTGTCAGGAAGGGAAGATTAGCACAAGAAATAGAAGGGTAGCCCTGTAGCTAAAACGTAGCCGTATGCGGCGTAATCGGCCAGCCTCCCTTTCTGACAGATCGGAACAGCCTAGGGCCACTGGAAGCTGCAGCAGACGAGCTGTTTATGCCTGTTACTGATGTCCAGGCGGGACCAGACCAGCAGGGTCACCCATTCCCCTTAGGACTGCTCTCTTCTTCCATATAGGAGTGTCAGAGTGTAAGCCCCCGTGTGCTTCTTATAAGCATGACAGGAAGGTTACTGAACACTGCTGTGGAGTTTGTTGTGGTTACCTTGGCTAATGGTTTTGCAAAGCCGGCAATCGGGCACTTGGTCGGGGGGGAGGATTGAAGAGGACTCCCGAAATAGTTAGGAACAGCAGCCACCAAAAGGTGAGTGTCCCAAGAGAATGCTGCAAGGGCTGCACTAGTGACCTAGAGACACCAGTGTGGGACGAGGTGGGGGCCTAGAAGAGGGCCGTCGGTGCTGCCTGGGTTAACTCTGCAGCGAAGAGAAGGGGTTAAGTCAATATCTATAGTTATTTAAAGGCACTAAATGCCAGGGGGTGTGGCGCTGTTGCTGTCCTAAGTGTACAAGGTGAGGCATGAGGCAAGAGACTGACTCCCCGCCCCAGATGATCTAACAATGATACTCTGCAGGCCTCTAATATTTTTCCTCCTAGCATCACCCAGCTCTGTGCAAATAACAGGCAGGCCCTGGAAGGGACTGTTGGTGTTATCCAGGCCTGCCAATGGGGAGGGGACAACAGCCATGGGGTCTGTCAATGCAAAGGCGCTGCAGCAGTCAGAACCCTGGGCCTCCTTTAAATTGCCGCCGGAGCACCTCTCAGTGCGGCTGTGAGGGCTTGGGTTCAGCTCCGCAGTCAGGACAGCACCAAGGGCTGGCTGCTCTGGCCTCTGCCCCGGCCCTTCCACCCGAGACCCGAGTGGCCCATTCACTTGCCCTGGGGCCTGTGGAAGCTGTCATCCCGCAATAGCCACAAACAGACTCACCAAACACGAGAGAATTGTAGCCCTGTCCCACTGAAATCCGTGGGAGTTTGGCCAGTGGCTTTCATGTGAGCAGAAAAGGGCCTGAAATGACTTGCCCAAAGTTAGCATCTCAGAGCCAGGAAGAGAAGAACGTGAGAACCCAGACACCTAGTCCCCCACTCTAACCATTAGGCATCGCTGTGACACAGGGTCCCCACACAGCCCTGCTGTGCCATTCTGCTATGAGTGCCAATTACTGAGTCCATGGGGAAAATACCCTACATCCTCTGCAAAACAGAACCTGGCAGTGTCTTTTGGGCCTATAAGGGGTGGGGCACTCAGGGGGTATGTCTACACTACCCCGCTAGTTCGAACTAGCGGGGTAATGTATGCATACCGCACTTGCTAATGAAGCCCGGGATTTGAATTTCCCGGGCTTCATTAGCATAAGCGGGGAGCCGCCAATAACGGCACTAACACCTCCTTATCCCTACTGGAAATACCTCGTCTAATGCATCCCAAGACCGTATTAGCCTTTTTCACGGCCATGTCACAATGGTGGCTCATAGCCATCCTGTGATCAACCAGGACTCCGGGGTCCTTCTCCTCTTCCGTTACTTCCAACTGATGTGTCCCCAGCTTATAACTAAAATTCTTATTATAAATCCCTAAATGCATAACCTTACACTTCTCACTATTAAATTTCATCCTATTGCTATCACTCCAAGGGTATGTCTACACTACCCTCCTAGTTCGAACTAGGAGGGTAGTGTAGACATACCCTGGGTGAGTCTACACAGCAGTGAGAGACCCACAGCAGCTAGACACATACAAGGTGGGAGGGTCCCAGAGTTTGAGCTCCAGCAATGTCTACACCCCATGTGTCAGCTGGCATGGGTCCGGCCCAGCTTTTTCTTTGCTGTTCAGACATGTACTTTCGTGTGTGGCATAGAGTGGATGGAAGTGCTCTCTGGCAAACCTGACCTTACTTTTGTAAATATCTAGACTAAAGCTTATGTCTGAAAGTGTTTGATGGAGTTGATTGTGCAGTTCTGATGTAATGCGAGAACAACAGACGAGAGGGAAGGAGTGGAATGAGGAAGGCCGGAGTTACAATACAGTCATGCAGTGACTCTCCATGTAGGCACGTGTACACTCGTGTGACTCAAAGGTCTGACAGTGGTCGGTGAGGCTGTTTATGGAGCTTTAGGGATAACACCAGCGCACATCACATCTTCTCCAAAATGACAGCACTTACTCATTCTGTACAGTATGGATGTTCTGGGAATACACATATTAATCTGCTAATGATTTAAGAAATTAATTAAAAATGAATTTAATTAATTACGAAATATCATACCCTACATCAGAATTTTGTGTCCAAAGTTCTCACTAACATGACAACAGACTCTTCAGATTTCCAGGATAGTGAAAATAAAGAGGAAGAAGATAAATCCTTAAAATATGTAGCCTTTGTACAGGATTTCAGTGAGTTTTAACTATATGGGAAGTTTAAGGAGTTGCTTCTGTTCCTGAGAACTCTGGGGACAAAAGAGAGCCAGGCATTTTTTTAATAGGCCGACTTTAGAATAATTTTAATTCCTAAACTTATTCACAGATTGACTTTGTAAATTCTCAGAGCCTTCATTGTGCCCTCAGAGAGGAAGTGCTGTAATTCTGGGAAGTGTGTGAAGCATTTTCCATACAGAATGGAGGCTGAAGTTCTGCTTTAAGTGCACTATCAGCCCAGCCTAAAGTTTCCACTGATGCCTTCAGAATACCTAGCCCTTTTTAGTCTATAGATCTCAGATCTCTTCACCTAGACTGGGTGAGCATCACGTCCTTTATTGTACAGACAGGTAAACTGAGGCCCAGAGAGGGCAGGTGACTTACCCAAGGTCACATAGTATGTCAGTCACATTCAGGAATAGAGTTCAGGAGTTCAGGCTCCCAGTTTAATGTCCTATCCCCATGACATGCTGTGACGGTGCGTTGGGGGTCCCCCGTCTCTTGCCCCCCGAAATGGCACAAACAGACGGCCCCAGCCGGTGGAATAGAGGAAGTTTATTGCCTCTCCAGGATACAGCACAGCACAGATGTAATCTGGTCACAGAGCTGGGCTAGGATGCCTCAGGCCCCCTTGAGATGGGGGGGAGACTGGGCCCCTAAACTCCAGCCCCTTTCCCTAGGCTGTCTCCTCCATGCTCCCAGACAGCAACTACCTTACCCCCTCCCAGCCCTGCCCCCCAGCCAGGGCAGCATTCCCCCTTCCTTTGTTCCACTCCATGGGGGGTGTCTGGTTCAACAGGTTTGGCATCACCTTTGCATAGTGAGGTTTTCCCTGCTGGGTCTTGCTCCAGACATCAGAGGTCACCACAGCCCAGCAAGTACCCCCACTACGTCACACATGCTGCCTCCCAAATTCTCCTAAACCTCGGGCGTGCCTGAAATCTGAGCCCCAGTACAGATCTGCCTTTTGCAGAGGGATCCCGGACCTCTTGAACCTCCCAGTTCAGATGCAGTACCTGGAACTAGGGTCTGAAGTTTGCAGTCCAAGCCCCTCACTGCTTTTCCATTGGGCCTCTTTCAGATCCTGCGGTTCATCGGGGATAGGAACCTCGAGAGCTGGCAGGAAGTGCTCCTAGGTAACTACGTCGCCAGCCGAGGACTGGGCAACCCGGCCTTGCGCGATGAGATTCTGAGTCAGGTGCTCAGCCAGGTGTGGAAGAACCCAGATGCGGAGCAGAGCCAGCGAGGCTACGCCCTGCTGGCTGCCTTTCTGAGCGCGTTCGCCCCTTCGCCAGAGCTGGAGAAGCCCCTGCTGAAGTAAGGAAGGGGAGGGGGGGCAGGGGAGAGGGCTCTTTTTATCGCTGTTTCCGGAGAGGAGCAGCGCGTAATTACAGGTGGCTGCTTGGTTTGCAGGTTCGTGTCAGACCACGGGCTGGAGGGCTACAATGCCGTCTGCCAGCGCAAGATCCTCACAGCAATGCAGCAAACCGAGACGAGCCCGGAGGTCTCCCGTGCCCACCCTCCCACCCTCTTGGAGCGGACCGACAACCA